CGACAACAATCGCGAGCTTACTTTGAGGCAGATTTACAGAAAGAGATTGAAAATGCCAAAATGGAAACACAAAAAGGCATCCAAAAGGAGATCAACAAGAAGATGCTTGAGACAGAGAAGCAGATGAAGGACTTTTGGACTCACCTAGAGCAGTCTGTCCTTCACAGCCACATCGACGTGGCTTTTGAGCAGATCTCCTCCAACCTCGAGGTGGCCAACATGCGAATCTTTGAGAGTGAACTGCAGAAGACGCCATTCAAGAATGCAGAAGCCGCAAAAACACCTCAAGGTGGTAAGCAGTCAACCACGGTAACCACTTCTTTGCCATTAGCCAAGAAATCGAACCCGGTGGTAGTTAAGATGCACTCCAAATCAAGCAAAACTTTGATAATCGACCCAGAAGACGAGAACAGCAACTTTCCAACTCTCTTTTCAGCAAAGAACGCCGAAAAAGAGGCTAAACCTCCACTTGATCAGTCTTTTCATTCTACTGGACCAGTTTCATCCAGCTCCGCTCGCCGACCATTCACCGTGGAGCACTTTCAGTCCGAGTCTGTTAAGAGAATTAAACAAGGCGGGCAAAACAAGGAGAACATAACCGACGACGACGACGACGATTATGATGACGATGAGGATAACCTTGACGACAGGGACGATGACAACAACGATGAGGAGGAGGAGGAGGAGGATCAAGGAAAGGTGCCGCGGCCTCTGATGCCGGAAATTACTATTGTCGACACAACTGTGGAANCCTTGACGACAGGGACGATGACAACAACGATGAGGAGGAGGAGGAGGAGGATCAAGGAGAGGTGCCGCGGCCTCTGATGCCGGAAATTACTATTGTCGACACAACTGTGAAGGACAGTGCAATGGGGGGACATCAGCAGCTGCAACAGCTGAACCCTGTGAGTGTCAATCTCACTGTCCAACAACTGTCGTCAAATGAGGAGAATGTTCCCAGTTCCTCTGTTTCATCGTCACCGCCCGTGACAGTGCCCAGCTCTGAGTATAGTTTACCGGATATTTACACCAGCAAGGTGAATCCTTTTTTTCCGCCGATAAAAAAGAAGTAATTTATTGAGAACCAGTGCCTACTTTTGGCTTGCCCACATTTACTGACACGTCTACTTGAAAAAAGGCTATACTTTGTTACTTATTAAAATTTATCAGTTAAAAGTTGTGCAACCGATTTTTATATTTATCGTTTCACTATTCAACAAATTTACAGTTAAAACGTTTTGAACGTTCTTTTATGTTTACTCTGACCGTTAATCAATTGTTTCGCTATGTTATTTAAATTTTTTTCTACACATTTAATTATTACCCAGAAATTATGTGCAATTACAAGTTCGTTTATGTTTAATTAATTTAATATGTTCAACTAAAATAGTTTTATTCAATAAAACATATTATTGTTAATTTCTGCATAAAAACATCTGTTGTTTAAATATTTCAAAATGTCTAAAACTAAAAACCCGTTTTTAGACATACTAATTGCATATTATGGTTAAGAATTTTTTTATACTTAATTGCAATAAACTAAAAATTTTGAAATTCTTTGTTTTAGCAAGTTTTCAATCTCGTTGCACCCAGTTAGTTTTAGTCAAAGTCATCCCCAAAACAGGGCCATCTTTCTTTGGAACATCTTCTACGCCATCTTCAGCTGGTTCTACGTCCTTTCAGTGGTCGACCCAGACACCGTTAAAGAGCGCTCTAAAATGATGCAAGACACCTATGCAGCCTTTCACAAGAAACCACTTTTCAACATTGTCTTTCGTTTTGGACTGGCCACCATCTTCCCCATTGGCAACTTCGCCACTATTCAACACTTTTATCTGGCCAGTTTGAAACAGTTTCCTTTACTGAAACACCTGTACTCTTTTGATTTTGTTGTTTCCAAAAGGGTTTTCCTGGTCATCATTGCACTTGACCACCNGCATAAAAACATCTGTTGTTTAAATATTTCAAAATGTCTAAAACTAAAAACCCGTTTTTAGACATACTAATTGCATATTATGGTTAAGAATTTTTTTATACTTAATTGCAATAAACTAAAAATTTTGAAATTCTTTGTTTTAGCAAGTTTTCAATCTCGTTGCACCCAGTTAGTTTTAGTCAAAGTCATCCCCAAAACAGGGCCATCTTTCTTTGGAACATCTTCTACGCCATCTTCAGCTGGTTCTACGTCCTTTCAGTGGTCGACCCAGACACCGTTAAAGAGCGCTCTAAAATGATGCAAGACACCTATGCAGCCTTTCACAAGAAACCACTTTTCAACATTGTCTTTCGTTTTGGACTGGCCACCATCTTTCCCATTGGCTACTTCGCCACTATTCAACACTTTTATCTGGCCAGTTTGAAGCAGTTTCCTTTACTGAAACACCTTTACTCTTTTGATTTTGTTGTTTCCAAAAGGGTTTTCCTGGTCATCATTGCACTTGACCACTTGCTCTTCATTGCCATGTACCGAGTCTTCTTTGCCTTTTACAACTTTGATCCGACCACACTGAATGGAGTGCTTCTCTGTGCACTCATCTACCTGTCTTTTTACGTCATGAACTGCAACACCAACATCATCTTTGGTTTTAGTCTGCTGTACAAGTACGCCACCTGGACTGAACTGAAAAGTTTTCGACNCTTCTCTGTGCACTCATCTACCTGTCTTTTTACGTCATGAACTGCAACACCAACATCATCTTTGGTCTTAGTCTGCTGTACAAGTACGCCACCTGGACTGAACTGAAAAGTCTTCGACAGATGCTGGAAACATCCGATCCCGTTTCAGTGGACATCAAACTGTTTTCCAGTCAACTTCGACGACTCTCAAAGTTGAACCGAGTACTAAACGACTTCCTCGCTTCGCCGACGGTGGTCGTAGTCGCCATTGGCATCTTCAATTTAGTGTCCATTTTTTCGCAAGCCTTCGTCATCAGCCAAATGTACATTGACAATCTTTTTTTTGTCAGTCAATTTCTTCTGCTACTACTCAGTCTAGCTGTGCTACAGGATCTCATTAAAGTTGAGTTGAGATCAATTGAGACAACCCTAGAGGGGCACTACTGCCTAAAAACATCTGCTTTTAAACCTTTCAAGGTGGCCAGCCTTTTTGATCTTGACTATCTAGTCAATGATACTGGAAATTCTGTTTCTGCAGCGGATAAGGTCAGTGAAGACACTTGCCTGAAAGCGGTTACTCTGGTGGCCGTTTACCGGGGCTTCTTCAAACTGATACTCTATGAACTAATTGACTTTGATTATTCTTTTCTTTTTTTTGCGATCTTTTTTGTCATCAACTACACTGTCCTTGTCATTCAAACGAGTGCATAAAAACGCGTGCGTGAAATAATGTTTGTCAATAAAATCAATAAATTAAGTAGAAGCTGTGTGACTAAGTTTTTGCTCTAGTGTATAATTGTTCACCTACTGAACAAATTTTATTGAATCAACATTATTGATCATCGCCAATAAATTTTAACAGTCAATTAGTATAATTAAAGTTAAACATTGCTCAATATTTTTCTCAAAAAATTATTTTGTTGAGTTCTGCAGTACAGATAAGATAAATATGCCTACAGCTAAAAACGCCTTTCTTCGGTTGCTTTTTTGGTACTACGGAAATTTTTCCTTGCAACTGCGTCCAGTGAGCTTAAGAAAAAGAAAAAGTCTCCTCAATCTTACTTGGAACGTTTTTGCCATCTTTTTGGGCGTGTACTGCATTGCCAGTCGCGCCTACACCGGACAACAAACGGAGCATCAGCTGATGAACACCTTTGCACATCGACCCCTTTTTACGCTTGCTTTCAACGTTTTCCTCAAAAGTATTCTTCCTCTGGCGTTCATCTTCAATGTTGCCTACTTTATTTTCCTAAGTTTAAACAATGACAGAGATTGGCAGTTGATAACGCTGCTTGATCAGTTCTCCCTCAACCTTCCGTCACAAAAAACTTTTTTCATTATTCTGCTTTTTGACCATTTGATTTTTGTGAACACTTACTTTTACTTTATTACCACCTCAACTGGCACTTTTGGGGGTGATGATTGGAGCACCTTTTTGGTAAAGTGCATTTTTTTGTTTGTCAACTACTTTTCCTTTTATCTTCTTAGCTCAATTGGGTTTATTGTTTTTGGTGCCGTGTTCTACTATAAATATGCAACGCTGGTTAGTTTACGAAAAATTGCTCAGCAACTGAAAAATCTCCAGTTTGTCAATTCTTTGCCATTAAAATTTAGCCATGTTGAGTCAACAGTAAAAAGGTTATCGTTTCTAAACTCTCGATTAAATCACATTCTTTCACTGCCTTTAATTATAATTTTGTTTGCACACATCTTTAACAGTCTTGTCCTTCTTGCGCGCGTATTTGTATCTGGTATTATCTTTTACCGAAACGCCGTATACATCATTTTCAACACTGTTATTTTGTTTTGCTTGGGATTTTTTCAAAAGCAGATTCAGTGGCGATTAACTAAACTTGAAATAGTTTTAAAATTGCCTAAAACTGAAACTCCAAATTTAAAAAACTTTCAACTGAAAGCTCTTGCACTGATCACCGTACACCGAAGCCAATTTGATCTTTCACTTTTTCAATTATGCTCAATTGATATGAATTTTTTTCTATGTACGGTCCTATTTATTAGTAATTACGTTTTTCTAATTGTGCAGACGTCCAATTAATAATTAAATTCTTGTTTTGTCCTTGTTTTCACTTTTGTGTACAATGTGTTTTGCTAATAATAAAAAAACTTTTACTTTGATTGTTAATTAGTGTTAATTGAATTTTGTTTTGGGGGTTTGGTGATACAAAACTAGTACAATTTAAAAAGTTCGCAGCATGCATATTAAAAACCAATTTCTCCGCTGGTTCGTCTACTACTTTAACATTTGCAGCGTGCCACTGTTGCCGGTTTGCTTCCGCTTTGGTCATCGTGGACAAGGTCGACTGCTGTTCACCTGGAACCTTTTTTCCATTGCCACCAGTCTCTACTTTATCTTCGCCCTAATGATGCCGCAGGCATTGCAAGCAATACTCCGCCGGGGGGGACGCCCTTTTCGGGAACAACTCACAAAAGCCGTTGTTTACGCTTTTCTTCCGCCTGGGCGTCACCTTTGCGCTGCCCATGGGCTTCTTCAGCAGCTACCTCTACTTTAGCAAACTTTGCTTGGCTCCTAAATCTTCTAGCCGGTCAACCGCCTACCTGTTTAGTCTTCTCGATCGACCGAATGTGACCATTCCAAGACGGGTCTTTTTTATCTTGTTGGCAGTTGACCATTTTGTTTTCATCTTCACGTACAACATTACTTTTAAAATGCTCTTCGCACTGCAACTTCAGCTGGCGGATGTGCCCAAGATTGCTGGTGCCTACTTTGCCTTTTACCGCTTAAACGGCTGTTCTATGACAATTTTTGGTTTAGTTGCTTACCACAAGTACACTGTGTTGGTAGAGCTGACTAACATTTTGCGGATAAGTGTAGCTGCTGATAACTGTGATGGTGTTTCAGCAAAAATTCAATTTCAAGTTATCAACCTTGCCTCTACGAGTCGACAGGTAAATCGCATTTTCTCCTTTCCGCTGCTGAGCATCATTTTTGCCCAGGTCTACAATGCCGTCATTCTCCTGGCAAGAATTCTCATCT